GGGCTCTCCATGCGTGCCTCTCCCTTTCTTATTGCGCCGTTACTGCGCTTCCACTACGTTTTCTGGTCTTGTTTCCACTCATTCTACGTCCACACTGCGCTGCCACTGAGACTATGATGCTCGTAATACGTCCAATGCGTTGTTCCCACGTTTGCAATAGGAACACAGAGCGTTCTTATTACGATCCCACTTCTACTGACCCCCCCCCACCCCCCACCCCCCACACGCACATTTTTGTATAAATACAGCTTCATCTTCTATACACAATCAGTGTGCATCTGCTCTTCACCATGCCGCAGACAGGCAGAATGTGCTAATTGTACTACAGTTATGGTTATATGGGTTATTATGGTTTATAATGGGGCCGGGTTACATGTAGCTGTGTGCATGTGGTGTATGCACCGATTGTTTCATTCACATTGTTTTTAATTCAAATCTCGTTGCAGCAAGGCAGCTTATAGCTGCGTTCACACGAGATTCACTGCTTCGCTGGTTCCGTACTTATCTGGTGCTGAATTCGGCTGAAATACCGTGCTAACATAACCCAGAGCGTTTACACGAGAATCGAGGCTTAGCTGGCTAGGTATAATATAGACTGGTACCCGGTCGACAGTTCCACACGTTACACTAACGTCATGTAGCGAACGGGTACCAGTCTAGGTAAGCGCACTACAGTAAGAGGCCTCGAATTGCGTTCACACGACAGACAATACATGGTGCATGGTGCCGAATGTTTCAGCGCAAAATGTGATTCTGCGCCGAGTAAGCCTTGTATTTCAGTACGGTACTGAATAAGCCGCGTATATAAGCCGCGTAAGTCTTGAATATTTTTAGCGTGTGAACGCTCAGTACGGAACTGAAATCCTCGTGTGAACGCAGCTTATGTCTGCGCAAATCATTATTATGTCATCATGTCTGTGCAAAACAATGCAAGGGACGGGTGGAAACATAAAAATGTGATTATGTCTAGACATTCAATAAAGAAAAACTTTCAAGTGCAATTTCAAAAAAGTAAAATAGGACAACACGTATTTCAAGTTTGCATCTAACAATAAATGGATGCCTTTATTTTGAACAATATCCTCAATAAAACATGATGAGCAAACTGTCTCTGACACGTACACTGGAAATTAAACTGTCTCTGACACGTACACTGGAAATTAAACTGTCTCTGACACGTACACTGGAAATTAAACTGTCTCTGACACGTACACTGGAAATTAAACTGTCTCTGACACGTACACTGTAAATTAAACTGTCTCTGACCCCGGCCCCCCACTCAGTGTTAGTTAGGGTACGCATATGCTCGTGCTCTCCCTTTGAAAGCACCCCCCTATCTCAGGACTGCTAAAATTTCTGAACCCCCTTTTGCGGGCTTTTTGCGGGTTTTTCCTTCCTTGGAGACCCCCCTAAATCCGGAACACTGCTCAATGTACCCCCTATCTCAGGTGAGCTCTCATTCCAACCGTAGTGACGTTAGTGTAGCGTGTTGAACTGTCGAACCAGTCTACACTACGTAGTGTAGAGTTCAGTGATTGAGGGGAACTAGGGGGCAATATTTTTACATTTCAAAATTAAATAATCCTGAATGAGCTTTCAAAACTAGCAGGAATTTCAGGAATTTGATCCCGGGATTTGTGTTTCTATGATATTCAAGATGAAAGAGTGAGAGGAAAAACACCCCCTTTTTAAAGAAATCTCCGGGTGAAAAGTCAACACACCCCCTTTTTACAATTCTTGGGCCGGATTTTGTTGCGCGAAAAATACCTCTTTACCGGAGATTTTGGGAACGCGCATGCGGTCCCTCCGACCTCGGAGTGGGTGGGCCGGGTCTCTGACACGTACACTGGAAATTAAACTGTCTCTGACACGTATACTGGAAATTAATAAACTGTATCTGACACACTGACAACTGTCTCTGGAACACTAGTTATCATTGTTGTTGTCATCTAAAGGTGGGTGATCCTTGTTAGAATCTCCGCTGGCCAGCCTCTCAATAATAATATATACACGCCGCGCACGCGCAGTGAGCGAGTTGCAAACGTATTGAGAGCGTAGTAAGCAAAGATCGTATAGTGCCGTAGGCCTATGGTGCTATAGGATCTTTGGTAGTAAGAGCGCAGCGAAAGCTACTTGGACGCACTGAGAGCGCACAGAGCGCAGTGGGAGCGCACTGAGAGCGCACTGAGCGCATTGAGAGCGCACTGAGAGCGCACAGAGCGCAGTGGGAGCGCACTGAGAGCGCACTGAGCGCATTGAGAGCGCACTGAAGATCAATCTGGGAACGCATAGGATCGCAGTGAGAGCGTAATAAGCGAGTCAATAGCGTATTGTAAGCCCGGCCCCCCCACTCCGAGGTCGGAGGGACCGCATGCACGTTCCCAAAATCTCCGGTAAAGGGGTATTTTTCGCGCGACAAAATCCGGCCCAAAAATTGTAAAAAAGGGGGTGTATTTGACTTTTCACCCGGAGATTTCTTTAAAAAGGGGGTGTTTTTCTTCTCTCTCTCTTTCATCTTGAATATCATAGAAAACTTTATCAAATTCCTGAAATTCCTGCTAGTTTTGAAAGCTCATTCAGGATTATTTAATTTTGAAATGTAAAAATATTGCCCCCTAGTTCCCCTCGATCACTGAACTCTACACTACGTAGTGTAGACTGGTTCGACCATAGAAATAGATAGATAACATATTATCTATCCTGGTTAACCTATTATTAACCTGGTTATCTATCTATTTCTATGGGTTCGACAGTTCCACACGCTACACTAACGTCACTACGGTTGGAATGAGAGCTCACCTGAGATAAGGGGTACATTGAGCAGTGTTCCGGATTTAGGGGGGTCTCCAAGGGAGCAAAAACCCGCAAAAAGCCCGCGAAAGGGGGTTCAGAAATTTTAGCAGTCCTGAGATAGGGGGGTGCTTTCAAAGGGAGGGAACGAGCATATGCGTACCCTAAATAACACTGAGTGGAGGGGCCGGGATTGTAAGCTACTGTTAACGGTTAAGCTACATGGTGTCGCACCATGGTCACACTACGCCATGGATTTCCATGGACTGCACTTTTCCTCGCGCTTTCATACTTTTTAGGTCGCAGTGGGAGCGCGAGCGTGATCGCGGGAAGGTGTGACAGGGGTATAAGCATACTTTTATTATTAATACGCTCTTGACTATATCTAACTGGTAGGTAACATGCTGTGTTGTGGCTTTCACCCATACCAGCTGAACGTGTTCTGCCAATGAAGGAACAGGAGAGAGAAAAATCGCTGTTTCTTATTAAAATGGTCTTTAGCTCCGACTATGATATTGGTTTCCCCCGCCGGTGCTATCGCGTGACCCTGTACACTACTGTATGATTGATTTTAGTTAAAAATGGCAAGTATGTATTATCTCAAACTCAAATCTAAATATCTGAGTCATTAAACTTACAGGGTGGTTATTTTAAGTAGGCTCATGGT